TGTGTAAGTAAAATAGAAAAGTTAAGGGGCCAAAATATACATTGCAAGAAGTTAAATGTGTGTAAGTGAAATAGAAAAGTTAAGGGGCCAAAATGTACATTACAAGAAGTTAAGTGTGCGTAAGTAAAATAGAAAAATTAAGGGGAAAAAATGTACATTGCAAGAAGTTAAGTGTGTATAAGTAAAATAGAAAAGTTAAGGGGCCAAAATGTACATTGTAAAAAGTTAAGTGTGGGTAAGTAAAATAGAAAAGTTAATGAGCCAAAATGTATATTACAAGAAGTTAAGTGTGCGTAAGTAAAATAGAAAAGTTAAGGGGACAAAATATACATTGCAAGAAGTTAAGTGTGTGTAAGTAAAATTAAAAAGTTAATGGGCCAAAATGTATATTACAAGAAGTTAAGTGTGCGTAAGTAAAATAGAAAAGTTAAGGAGCCAAAATGTACATTACAAGAAGTTAAGTGTGCGTAAGTAAAATAGAAANCAAGAAGTTAAGTGTGCGTAAGTAAAATAGAAAAGTTAAGGGGCCAAAATGTACATTACTAGAAATTAAGTGTGCGTAAGTAAAATAGAAAAGTTAAGGGGCCAAAATGTACATTACAAAAAGTTAAGTGTGCGTAAGTAAAATAGAAAAGTTAAGAAGCCAAAATATACATTACAAGAAGTTAAGTGTGCGTAAGTAAAATAGAAAAGTTATGGAGCCAAAATGTACATTGCAAGAAGTTAAGTGTGCTTAAGTAAAATAGAAAAGTTAAGGGGCAAAAATCTACATTGCAAGAAGTTAAGTGTTTGTAAATAAAATAGAAAAGTTAAGGGGCCAAAATGTACATTACAAGAAGTTAAGTGTGCATAAGTAAAATAGAAAAGTCAAGGGGCCAAAATGTACATTGCAAGAAGTTAAGTGTGCATAAGTAAAATAGAAAAGTTAAGGGGCAAAAATGTACATTTCAAGAAGTTAAGTGTGCATAAGTAAAATAAAAAAGTTAAGGGGCCAAAATGTACATTACAGGAAGTTAAGTGTGCGTAAGTAAAATAGAAAAGTTAATGGGCCAAACTGTATATTACAAGAAGTTAAGTGTGTATAAGTATAATAGAAAAGTTAAGAGGCTAAGATGTACATTACAAGAAGTTAAGTGTGTGTAAGTAAAATAGAAAAGTTAATGGGCCAAAATGTACATTGCAAGAAGTTAAATGTGCGTAAGTAAAATAAAAAAGTTAAGGGGCCAAAATGTACATTGCAGAAAGTTAAGTGTGTATAACTTAAATATAAGTTTGAAAATATTATTAAAATTTGACAAAAATATATTGATATTAGTATCAAATTAAGTATTTAAAATTGCTCATTATTTGTGTAATTTTTTAATTCATTTTTTAAATTTATTTTAGATAAAATAACGAAGTAATTTATATTTGGTTTAATAATATAATTTTCTTATAAAAATGATAATTATTTATTTTGTTAGAATTTGATAATTATTCTAATTATATTTTAGATTTTTTATATTTTAAAATAAGACGTTTATCTTCTATTTGATTATGTTTATCCGTAATTAATTATACGAATTCAAACATCGAGCTTTAATAAATTGTACTTTTGCATAATTTACCTGTAATCTTGAATTTTAAGTAAACATTGGTTTTATGTGGTTTTGAGAAAGCGATAATGTTTTTATTTTTAAATAAAATATAAATTTAAAAATATCATAAGATTTTGAACAAGAAAATATCGATACCAGTATTAAATTAATCTTTTTAAAAGTTATTTTGTTTTGATGTAATTTTCTTAATTAAATTTTTTTAATTATAATTTAATTTAGGTTTAGTTACAAAGAAATTTAATTTAGGTTTAATAATATATTTTTTTATAAAGATAATAACAAAGTATTCTGTTAGTTATCAATGATTATCCTAATTATATTTTAGATTTTTTATATTTAAAATAAAATATTTATCCAATATTTGATTATGTTTATCTGCAGTTAGTTAGACGAATTCAAGTATTGAGCTTTAATAGATTGTACTTATACATACTTACTTGTAATCTTAAATTTAAAGTAAATATGCATCAATAAACAGTAATTCGAACATAAAAAATTGTTTTTAAAAATTTTCATCAAATGCTTTATAATATAGTGTAGATAAGACATATTTGTTGATTAATTAGTATTTGTTTGATTATTAGCATTAGGACAAAAGAAACTCCAAATTTAATTCATATGTTTTAGAGAACTCCAAAAGTCACAACGATCTCTAACATCGACTCCATTAAAAACATTCGCATTTTAATATTTTATCTTATATTTGATTTTTTAATAATAAAAATAAAACATACAAGATTGGGTTCGATAAGAAATGTCGGTTTCTGTAAGAAGTGAAAAAATGTAACCTTCACATAATATATGTGGGAGGTACCCTGTGCGAAGGTAACCGTCGTGGTTTGCATTTTGTTAGACCTGAATCCCTTCACTCAACTCTGTTCTAACAAATTGGTGAAAGTACACAATCAAGTCTGTTTTCTTACATGACCACGAGTGTCTATATGAAAAAGATTACGAATTGGAGAGAATCCTACCGGGATAAAAAAACTTGAAGAACCCAAAAAGATATCAAATTGGATGTTGAGACTTAGGGGCCGTTTACTAAACGCTTGCCTAGTAAGTACTTACGGAGTAATTTTTCTCACAGGATGAACATGGCAAGGGTCAAAAATCTTACCCGGTAAGTGCGATGATAAGAATGAAGGGGCTGTTTGGCAGTTGCTGAATGGTTTTGTGCAGAATGGTTAAGTGGTCAGAATGGTTAAGAGGGTCAGAATGGTTAAGTGCTGAATGAAATATGGTTGTTTGGTAAATGTTCTCTGAATGATAACAAATTACCATTTTACCCCTCTATATGATTTAATCCAAACCAAGGTTCTGTTAGCATCCAAATGCATCTTTCATATTTGTTATTGCATCACAGTGCTTCTTTAATGTTTTTAGCCTTGATTCAACATGAGATTTCATACAAGAAATTATGGTTTCACACTTTTGGATTTGGGTTATGCGATGGTTTTAATCGGTGGTTTCATACAAGAAATTAGGGTTTCACTCACTTTTGGATTTGGGTTATGCGATGGTTTCAATCGGTGGTTTGGACCAGAAAATGAACGGCGACTGTGGTTTCGATCGGCGACTGTGGAAGCGAACGACGACTGTGGTTTCGATCGGNCGACTGTGGTTTCGATCGGCGACTGTGGAAGCGAACGACGACTGTGGTTTCGATCGGTGGTTTCGATTTTGGGGAAATATCTGAAGCGAACGGCGACTGTGGAAGCAGATGGAGGGAACGACGACCGTGGAAGCAGTGGGATTATCGCAGAAGGAGACGGCAACCGGAAGAGCGACCGGAGATGGCGATCGTGGGGGGTGGGAGGCGATGTGAAGGAAGCGCTGTGTAGAGAGGGCAAATTTGGAAAAAAAATAGATCTGAATGGTTGGACACAAAATGGTTAAGAGGGATATGTAACCATTAAGAGGTTTCATTTTTTGTGCCAAACACTCCAAACCTCTGACCGATTAAGAGGCTCCCTCTTAATGTCACCATTAAGAGGGAAACAAACAGCCCCGAAGAGTCTTACCCGGTAAGTGAGGGTAACAACTCTTACCCAAGTAAGTGCTTACCAGGTAAATTGTTATATAGGATACGTTTTGATGTACTGCAATCTTACCAAATAAAATAAAATTATAATGCTGACTCCTAACGTTAAACATTTACAGGGTAAACATTTAGGTAAACGGCCCCTCAATGTCCCACCCTCTTCCCTCTAGCAAACAACTCAATTGCACTCCAATACAAAATCCTAAACCAACCCTTCCTGTCTCTCTTTAGATTTGCTTTTTTTGTTTTGATTCATTTGCACCATCTCAACAATAAAGTCTAGACCTTCAATGGAGCCCTAATCAAAAACCCAAATCCATATCATACTTCAACCCCTGTCACTAGTTGGCTTCCATTTCTTCCAAACCACCATAACCAACAAAGGAGATGACTTGGGGAAATCCATTTGTTGCTTACATTAACGGTTGGTTGTCTTCACTATCAAAAAATCTGTATTAATACTTACATTATCACATCAAACTTGTATAAAGATAATAACTTATCTACCTAATTAAAAAGGGGCATATGATCACAGATGAAAAAGCAAGTGTTGGCATGTTTTTGAAACCATAAGACCATGCTTAAGAGGCAGATGATGAAAGTAAAAAAGGATCTATACAATATTATTCACCGTAGTAACAAACTATATACCGTAAACCAAAAGACATCAAGTTTATGATTTTTCGGTTATTGAATATTTCATAATTACCTTGGTATTCCGACAAAACGTGGGATTTGCATCCTTCAGAAACCCATTGGATATGATCTTAATCATGTCATCTGCAAATCGGCAGATGGGCTTCTCCTGAGCCTTTTTCGTGCTTCACGACCCATAGGTTGCCTTCTTCTGTTCCCATTCAAATACTTTCCACCGTCATCTTTCCTAATAGAAGAAGAAGAAGAAATTGCCTTTTTCTGATTGGAAAATATCCCACAAGAGCTTTCACCTAAATCATCTGAATCAGAGTCCTCAACAACACAAGTTTCATACACATCATCACTTGAAGACGACGAACAACACTCATCAGAGTCTTCAACAACCAGAGTTTCAAGAACATCATCATCGTTGTCATCATCTTTTGATGATTCCTTCAGTCTTAATAAATTCAAGCATTTTTCGGTACAAGCCACAAACGAGTCCATCTTGATACTTTTAGCATTTGTCACAGAATCTGTTTCTTGACTTTCCTGTTTATTCCAAAATGTGAATAGTATCAGTTGTGCAAAATGGCAAGTATATAAAACCATACAAAACCTAGTAAGTCCCACCCGGAGGTGGAGACTAGGGGGTGGGGGTGGAATGCACGAAAACTTGACTTCTACCTTAAAAAGTAGAGCAGATGTTTCCGTGAAGACCCTTTATGTAGAAAATATATTTGTAGTAAATAGCTTAGATGGAGGCTTCTCTCTTTCCTGAGTTCGGCAATAAATTTTGCACATAATCCATAAGATAGCATTTTCTGGTCATCAGATAGCAATCCTTTTGATAATTTAAATACTTATATTGATGCATCGATAACTATTACCTTTATCGGTGACAATACAGCTTGGGAAGGGTCATACAGAACCAACTGTCCATGATTCTGATCATTTGCAGCAATCAATGATCCTCCATTATCTCCTGTCTCTGGAAACTTTTCACTATGAGATTGAAGCTCCTCAAAAGATGTCAGAAGACGTAGTCCATTGGTGTCACTATCCAAAAGATTTATGTCCATGTGTTTAGCATTCACATCTCTTGATCTATTTGCACAAGTACCAGAGATATTTCCATTAAATAATTCCTTCGAGTCGCATGTCTCATGGAGAAACTGTACTTCAGCTTCTTCCTCATTTACATCCTTGAGCTTAGATGACAGCTTGTCATTGCAGCCAGATGATAAAACTCGTTGAGAATTAGTTTTGACAAGTTCAAAGATCAAGCTTTTGATACGAGCACGTTTCAGAGAAGCTTCTTTAGGATGGAACCAAGCTTTACTAATCTGAGAAGAGAGGTATTTGTTATTTGCAGTCATTGCATAAAAATGGATATATGAAAATTCGAACATTGAACTATTGAAGAGGAAGCTTCTCTTTTGTTAAGTTGTCGGCTTAAGGACCCAAATAATGGTTGTAAAAGCGGTAAGAGTACATATGCTAATATTCTAAAATTAAACCCTAACAAAGAGATTATGAAGATATTGAAAATAGAGGGGTAGGTATCTGATATTCGTCCTCAATATCATTGATCTCCATTCAATCACCCATAAGTAAAACCGATCATTTTAGATAATAATAGAAATTGAGCTGGTCAAAAGAAATTTTGATTGGCAACTTATAGGGTTTGTGGCATCCAACCTCTCTCGGTCTCTACTTTTGAACTATAGATGGCCGACCCATCAAACAAGATACTTCTAACAGCAGCATAGGTTAACTGACTGTAAGTAATATCACCCCCTCCACCTTCCTCTTTTGATTATAATGAAATGTGATTGAACTACTTCACTTGTATAGTTGCATTGTATATAATATGCCAAGTCTACAAGAAGAGTTTACACTACAGTTTTCTACTTCTAGGATGAAAAAGGTGAAACAAATTTCACTCCGGATTAACTATCTCCATTTGAAATCCAACAGGGGGTAAAAAAGCCTGAACCTCTTAAGAGTTTACTTTTTACATGTCTTACGTAGGTGTTTGGGCTTCAGAGTATGTTTTTTGGAGTATTTAATATTTATATACCACAAATGAACTCACACACTCTCCTCATCTTTGGTAATGGTTAGAACCCTTGGCCCCTGAGAGGCTGGACTCTACCGGTAACCCGGATACCGCTAGACCAAAGGCCCTTTAGTGGCCTCAGAGTATGTTATAAGCATATTGTTGAGACATCAATACGGCTGTATATCAACATGAAAAAGATAATCCTGCTACTTTGGAAAGGGGACATCTTCTGAAGGACAGCTCAAAATGAAAACTGAGTAAATACATAACAGCTAAAATTTACAATTAGATGCGAGGGCACCATGGAAATACAACACTTCTCTAAAAAACTGTGACACTTCATTTGATCATCTTTGTTTGGACAAAGAGCATCCATAATTGTAACTGGTCAAAAAGAAAATTTCGGTAACTTATAAATAGCACTTGTAACTTTTGCTGACCCGTAAAGTAGATAACCAGTAAGAGATATCTGACGATTGTGGGATGCAGAGAATAGATCACAGATGACTTACAAAGTTGTTCAACGGGTTGAAGTTAATGGGAGCCTTTTTCACAAAAAGTTCCATGTAATGGAGCATGAAGAGCCCACAATCATACGAGTTTTGCTGCTGGGGTACCTGAATAAATGAAGGTAGAAGGTCAAAAGAGCCAATGATCATTTACTTCCAACAAAAATCCAATAACCCATTTACCAACTAAAAGCTACTGAGTAATACCATGACTGAATTCAGAGAAGCACAGATCCCCAAATTGGTCAATCAAAGATACACAGCATAAGCAAGTTTCCCAAGATAAGAAAAACACATGAAGAAGAATGCTAGTGACCAGAGGATAATGGAGAAATTACTTCTTCTATATTGAGAACAATATTTCGGTGCATTCAGTACACAACAGACTAGCCACTATAAATACAAAGTAGAGAGAACACATGGCAGGGAATAATTTTATCTTCCCATAAGTCTAACAAAACCCAAACATATTGCAGTAAACAACAGCACAAAGGGCCATGAAAGCGCACAGTGTGTTTTGACACTTCAGTTGAGACATTAACACACTTCAAACTTTGAATACTTCATCTAGCCACTTATGATGCATTCTAGTAAATTCTCTTCTACTTTTCTAGAATACCCAGATCATTAAGAGTTTTCCGATATGTAAATTAAATCCATCTGTTGCATGTGTATGGCTCTTTCTTTTGGAATGGGACAGAGAGTAAATACCTCAAGATGGAGAAACCGCAAATTCATGAACTTCGTAGAAATATCTTCTGCTGCATCACTAGTCCTCTCTTTCCACTCTTCCCACAGATAGCTGTAGAATGCGAAGGCGATATTATAGTACACAAACATACAGACTATCTAATGACGTCCATAAAGTAGAACTAATATTTCAAATATGGTCAATACAAAAGTAAAACATTCACACAGTATTGGGTATAATAGAAAGAGATCTCCACCCTTAGATCAATCCTGAGTATGCCTCTATTGTAGTTCACTATTACACAGCCTTCGGTACTCAGTTCCCTTCTTTTCCAATGGATCACCGCTTTTACCGATCCCTACACAGTGTATTTCGAACTCCTGTTGAATTTCAACGTTTTTCTGAAGTCCCCAAGCCCCTTGCAATATATTTGTTGATTACCGAATTCTTTTCCACAAATCACAGGGCTCAATTATGGCAAAGTCATTGGCAACATCATACGTAACTCGGCCCTTTGCATCGGATGAGCCCATTTATAGATTGGCTCAAAAAAACTTCCTTTGAGATTCCTTCCAATGGAGCAGCAAACATCACATATCTATGTTAATGCTCTTCCACCGATCCCTCATATTAAAGAGCCAAAAATTGCTTGCAAAAAGAGCCCTCAGCTGTGGATCGAAACTGCTTCAACATCAATATTGCATTATTGGCCTCCTTCTATGGTCTCATTCAAACCACCGAAATACATCCCCCTCAAATAAAATTATTGAGACTTCGATTTTCTCATCGTTGTTTGATCGATTGAGTGCTAAGTATCTCTCCACCCGCATAATCCATCCATCAAGATCCTTACGGTTGAGTGTAGGTAACTCCAGCTTCTTTCCCTTGCATGAAATCGGTTCCAGTTCTCACCCCCTCTTTCTTGTTTGTTTTCCAAATCAGCACCGACCCTTCCTCCTCTGATCCCAGATGTGTCATGATTTTCTCAGCTGGGTCTGCTTGCAATTTCACTAACCATTCCAATTGTTTCATCATTTTTGCATGTCGTCCATTCTCGAAGCCACTGTGCACATCGTTGCACCAGAAACACCACTCTTTCGGTGTGCTATTGCTTTATAAACCCAAGTAACTGAACGTAGTTGACTGATTACTACAAGACTTTCCAGCTTTTGGGAGGCTGGACCCAGAGGCGCAAGCCCCAACATCAATTATACAATGCACATCCTTCCCACTATCTTACATAAAAGAATACTCGCTATTTAACTATTCCCCATTTACCCTTATTTACACCAGACTTGACTCTTTTATTTGTTACTACTCTTATTTACTTCCTCCACACATAAGTAAACATAAGAGCAGGTTTACCAAGTTTTGGACTTCTAACAGGAGTCGCTGCAAAAACTTCATGCCACTATCACTAATGCACATGTGTGAACTGCACATCCGCACATGCTTCAAATTTCAGGCAGGATTGAGTAACTACTATTCATGAAATTTTCTGCTGTGAACACCCAACATCTAATCTCTCGCAATAAACAAAAAGAACGTAAAAAGAATTTGTAATGCACATAAGAAACCAAACCATGTCATCTGTACCATCACAATAATCCATCATCGTAATATAGTTCGAAACTTGGAATGCAAACACGTTTATATTCCAAGAAAGAAAACTGCTTAAAACTAAGCCTGATAATTTATGAATTGAATACAAAATTGTTGTATTCCCTAGGTTCATTGATCACTTCTGCCAAACCGGCAGAAAACTTCATTGAAAACACTTTTGCAAAGAAACATAGTGTTGCAGCTACTAAAATCATTGTGAATATGAGGTACATTCAAACAAAATATTTACTTTTTAAATGTAATGGACACTTTCCTGATACATTAACTTTAGTCAGCCTGGGCCCAACCCTTTTCCAACCCAACCATGTTGGCTTGTAAATGGGTTTCGGTTTAGTTTGGGTTGGATTCATAGGCTTATTTCTTGGGTTGGGTAGTCGGCCCATTTTATTTTTGTGCAAAAGTTCCAGGGAGAACATTTTTTTGTGTTAGCTAAGGAACCTCATAGAATTCGTTATTACCCTATTGTAACTAGTATGTGACAGAGGTATAGCTGAGTATGGTGCAATAAAGTCCTTATAGTGTACAAAAGAAGGTAGGACCAAGAGAACTCTCCCAATGAACTACAAAGCAGTCCTTAACCCATGCAGAGAGTCTAAATAGCTTACCATCGGATACAATTTTCAAGACCTCTGTGGCTTCCTTTAATAGAGTCCATGTGCAAAATGCAGGGCACTTTGAGTGAATTCACCAGTTCCTCATCTGCACCGGTGTTGGTCATATTAAAAAAAGGGCATCGTATTGCAAATAACAAGAAGTTCACAATCAAATGAGAAGTTACCTGTGAAATTCACCACTTCCCCAGGATGACAAATAACAATCAAACTCCAATGCAAGCTGCCACGTATATAGTTCAAATAAGAAAGCATAATGATGACTGCTATACTCGAATCCTGGCTATAATCTTACCGGAAGTTAACAGGAATAAAAATGTATTCCTTTTGAAAGATGTTCACTTTCTTTGTCCACTTACGAACTCGCTGAAAAGCTGCCTCCGCGTCAAATAACCGCAATTGATTTTCATCAAAATCTGCCAGCTTTCTAAAGAAAAAGCTGTTGAAGAAATGAACTCTTCCATCTGCAGGTTTGATCTTCTTCTTCAGGTATCTACAAGTAACTCAAACTTTGTAATCTAAATTCGGTACCATGGTACAAATGTTACACAAGAAAAAGAACTATGACGCAATGAATAGAAGCTTCCAGAAGAATACAGTTCGTCGTATAGATTACCATGTAGGTTTCAAGAAAAGCTAGTTCTTGGTTCTTCTAATGCAACTTAGCATGTCATTCTCTCCCATAAGGTTTCATGTTTAATTTCTGTGCAAAGATGAGACTAGAGGAACAATACACTCATTCACAATACAAGCTATTTGATATCAATGCAAGTATGCAATATCTGCCAAGGATATCAGTTATCTCCCAATTACTAGACAGATAATGCAAGGGATTACTCTCAGGTTGGTTCTCTGCCTTATTCGGTCCAATATAAAGTTTTGACCATTTAAAAAGAAGGTAATATAAGGGCTGAATGAAAAATCTCTATGTTAAACCATTCCATAAGACATCAACCAAGAGTTTTTTTGCATAGGGATTTAGGGTTTCTTTTTATAGGAAACAGCAAATATGGTTGCTATAAGCAGAGCATGCAATTTCCAAACAACAAATAAACTCACACACAATGTCTCCAAAGAGATTGAACTAACAACCCAACGGTTGAAAAGCGTTGCTTGGTCGATTGGGCCAAAGGACTGATTGCAATGATAAAATAAAAAGATATCATGTATAACAAGAAGTTAGGAGCATCAGATCTTTAGAGGTAAGCAGAATGATCTTTTCTCTTTCACAATCCAATTCGTGTATGCTCAAGTAGTTGCACATAAAGTTAAAGCCAAAAAGCTCAACTCGATATAGAAGTCGACGATGGTATCATTGATAAACTTCTCTGGCTGCAGCAGCTGAAAGTCTCTCTTAGAAATAGAAATAGAATCACAATCCCCTTCCAGATAGGTAATATCTTCGAACGATTCATATGAACTGTACGACAGTTGAGCAAAAATGTCATGAAAGAAACTTGAAACCATATGACATACAGGGCTGTAGTGAAGTTTGATTAAACAAAATCAAGAGTGAAAAAACAAAGTATGAAGGGTAAGCAACTTCTCCATAACCACTTTGATAGATATTGATCAGCAAGAGAGAGCATAACTATAAAATCATTTAATACTGCATAAGCATTTAAATACGCATGGGTCAACCAAATATCACTTTAAAAGGTTATCTAACATGACCTGAAGTCATTAAATAAGTGAATCAAATTGTGGTTAATTTCGTTAACTATGAATTGGGTGGTGGATTCACTTCAACTTTTTCTAAAGTATACTTTTCACAGTACATATAAACATAAAACACAAGTAAGCATTATACTGCACAAAGCAAAATATACTGGAATTAATGATGAGAATATACTGATGCACAAAGCTACTGGAATTAACGATGAGAACTTTGTCGTCTCATTTGTCATTCCTTGCAGCTTTACAAAAATACAGAATACAAACAAAATAAACCTATCTATTTGTGTGGCACCACACCATCATTATCAAAACTCAACCATGGATTGGACAGAGAATGGATAAACTGTATTCATGAACGAGGAATCAAATTGCAGATTCATTTTCAACTTTGTCTGAGGTAGTTATGTAAAATGCATAAATATTAAACACATGCTCTATTCATGAACCTGAAATCAAATTGTAGACTTATTTCAAATTTCTCTGAAGCAGTCATATAATATGTATAAAATTGTAAATTTATTTCAAACACAAGTGGTAAGCTATATTAATGAACTGGGAATCAAATTGTAGATTCATTGCAACTTCCTCTTAAGTAGTTATATGAAATGTGTAGATTTCAAACACAAACGGCAAGCATTCTCGAAATGTATATAACAAAAATATACTAATATTGAGCATGAACATGTCTTGTCCTGTCAGTTGTCCATTATGACCTTTACCAAATACCAAAAAAGAATTCAACTCATGTGGCTACTAATAAAGTTTGGACCAATAAACTCTGGACACAATCCCATGAAACAACAAGCAAGTGAGGTCATGAATCTGTATCATGGTTTTAAAAGGCGGAATCGAGCCTCAAGGCGTTTCCCTCGACGAGGCGAGGCATAGGCCCTAAGACGAAAATATATATACACATTATACACAAAAAGATGTATGCAATATACACATAATGGAGTACTAAACACGAAATATATATATATATACACACACATATATGTATCATAATAAATTACTAAAATAATTTAATACCCTTTTTTCAATGGTGACACATAGTTACAGTAACAAAGAGAAAAAAAATATTGATATATTAACAATAAATATATATGTGCTGTTACAGTGACGCGTGGCAGATTTTTAAGGACTTTTAGAGGCTAAATACAAAGATTCAGCTGATAAAGATAAGAGGTCTCAAAATAAAATAATATTTAAAAACAGATTCAGGCATCTAGCTGTTTAGAGTGGAGATGTATGCCTCCATGGCACCTTATCGCTAGGCTATACAAGGCGTACATTTCAAATATGAAGTGAAAGTGGCGCCTCATACGGTTTTATGCCACCTCGCCACAAGGCGCACCTCGCACGATTTTGAAAATTATGATCCATATTTTTTTATAGAATTCTAAATGCAACTAGATACTTTTTAGTTGTTACTCTGTAAACCAAGTTGACATTCCATGTTGGAATTCTTGATGTGTAAAAGTAAAACGCTGAAGAGATGTTTCCAGACATTTTCACAAGTCCACACAAACAGTAAATCAGCGACTTCCAAAAAGTTGGTTGCCAATAAATAAAAATGGATGATGATGATGATGATGATGATGAAAACATGGTCCAAAAAACTAATGTAAGGTAAATACATGTAAATAAAAAGACACCAATCCATTCCACACATAAGATCAGATAGATCTAGCTTGTATTATTGGTCTGTAGTCAAGAATATCTAAAAAACACATGAAGGTAAACATTAACCAAAAACATGTCCCAGAACATAGTCTAAACAGAATGTAAAGTAGATACATGTAAGCAAATAGATGTCAACCCTTCCACACATAAGACCAGCTATCATATAATGATCTGGAGCCAATATTATCTAAATTCCTGACCCACATAGTACAAAGACTGGAAAAAAATATATGGCCAATGATATGTCACACCAATAGTCCAACAAATTCCTAACTGTGAAGAATATTTTATTATTTAATCTCTTAAGAAGGATAAAGCAGGGTTGAGAGTGTAGACTTGGGTCAATCCAGTAAATAAAACCTTCACTTGAGTAAAAGAGCAGCATAAAAAAGAAGGCAAGAAACTCACTCAAGATTAACCTCCCACTTTTCCCTATACTGCTCATTGAGAAATTTAATTTGTTCTTCAGTGTAAGTCCAACAAGGGTCACAGACAGCAAACGTGACCTCCAAATTGCCTGCAAGATTGCTTCGGTAATCAAGTTATGACTTGCTACTATATTAACTCATATACGCACTGGTAAATAGCTAAAACCCATATATGTATAAAGATGAAGGCTTGGCACATATGTGCATTGTATGAGATGCAAGTAAATTTGCATGCTCAACATAACATGCATACAATAGAAAATACACCTGATTGTGAGTCATAAAAATATAACAAGCTTATCAAGCAAATAATTCACCAATCCCTAAACTAACATATTGCAGTTTCAAGCATGCACAATACCCCTCCCCCTTTAATATAGAGGACACATACAAAATATATGGCATACAGGTGCAACAGCTGAACAGCTTACACATTAAAAATCAAGAATAGTTTGTTGCAGTTAGCCTACACTTGATGCCTAGGATCATAAGAATGGAGTTTAACTCGTCAAGATATTCCTTCAAAGGCATTTCGTCCTTCATTCGTAATGAGAATAACCTTTGCTTTAACAACAACTTGTTTGTTAAGGACTTGGTCATGTAGAGACTCTCTACTTTCAGCCATAAAGACGCAGCAGTCTCCTCATCGGCAACTTCATAAATCACCTCATCCGCCAAAGACAACAAGATGGTAGAGTGAGCCTTCTCATCTTGTTGTGCAAACTCAAATTCAGCCATATCTTTAGGCATTTCACCAGCCAAGGGAATCTAGATGCCTTGTTGTTTTAGGAGAGCTCTCATCTTAATTATCCATAAGCTGAAGTTGTTCTTTCCTGTAAACTTGTCTATCTTGATCATTTGTGGAGGCATTTTCTGAAATCTTGAAAAAAAAAACTATGGTACAAGATTCAATGTTGAGAAATCAAAAACAAATATCCAGACTAATCTTCAATTGAGTCGGCAATTTCTAAATTGGCTGTCCAAAATCGGTAATCCAAAAATTGATCACCAAAAAATCGACCATTCAAGAAATCAAAACATCAAGTTTGATTGATGGTCACAAATCGATGCCTCCAATTGAGCACCCAACAACAAAATTGATTGTAGAAGAATCAATTTAGACCGATGAATTTTAGAAATTGACTGTTGTTGCCGATTCCTCAAATTGACTGTTGAATCCGTCAATTTACACAATCGATTTCCAGAATCGAGAAGCTCCACCTTGAATCGAATACCAAATTGACTCAATCGCTTGCCAACAGAAAAAAATTCCAAAAAAGAAAAAAAAAGCGACTCAAAGACAAAATCAGAATCGATAATAAGGCGAAATCCAAATCGATTGAGGAGGAGACCAATGATTAGCGATTGGAAGAAACCTCAACGCTCTGATACCAGTTTGTCAAGAAATTAGAGAAACGATGTAGAGAGAATTTTAGACGAACTGGGAAATAGAAGGAATCTTTTTTTGAAATTGGGATTATCTTACAAATGAGGATAACCCAACCTATTTATAGGTAATAGCCAAGTCACGCTAGCAAAAAGAAACTAACTATTTTAATTAAAGCCACACCTAACAATCCTGGTATAAGTTTTGTTGTCAACATTGTGATTCAATTTCTTAGCAACCCATTAGTAAATCACTTGAAGGTTATGAACTGCATTTTAAGATATTCGAAGAAAGATCCAGGGAAAGGGCTCGCGTTCAGAAAATCTATCAACCGAACACTAGATGTCTATATCGATGCAGAATAGGGTGGATCCTCATATAATGGAAGATCCACATCTGGATACTGCTCATTCATCTGGGGAAATCTCGTGTGTGGCAAGGAACAACCGGTCATAGCACGAAGCACTGCCAAGGCAGAGTCCTAAGCTTTAGCCTTGGGCATTTGAGAAGAAATTTGGTTAAAACAATTATTAGAAGTACTTAAAGTTATGACCTTATACTTTATGGATCATGTGTGACAGCCAGTCAGCAATTGCAATCGCCAAACATCCAGTCTAGCATGATCGTACCAAGCACGTGGAGATTGATAAGACACTATCTATGAGAAGGCCGAAAACATGACAATCTCACTCATACATGTTCCATCCAAGCAACAAGCTACGAACATTCTAAGGTTCTGTTTCGGCCCAATCTTACTCAACTAAGTACCTTGCTTGGTTTATAGAACATATATCACCTAGCTTAAGGGGGATAGAAAATCAAGCTAGGATATCATATAATATGTAAGTTGATTCTTAGGGATCAGTTACATAATTATCGATTCTCTCTTTATTAAATAGAATCTGTATTATATTTTAGAGGCTGAATTATAGGAGTCGTTACACATTTGCTTGTATATAAATTTGTACATTGTATCCAAGTTGGAATATAAGCTTTTCTCACACATCTCAACCAGCTTTATAAAACAAGGGTATTTAACTAAGAAGTAAGAGAGTCCTAGAGTAAAAGAAGACACCATCCTAAATCAAAACAAATAAGGTTAGTAGATAAGTGTAGACAGACAAGGACAACTGTAGACATATAAAAACAACTATAAGTATCCATAGATTTATGGAAGTCTTTTCCATGCTTATCAAATGCTTTTCTTCCTTCTAGAACAAGTCTTCAGTCGTGGTATCATATACAACGATACTACTTATTACTACTATAAGCATCTTGAGCCTGTTGGTGTTAGTTCCTTCAAGTAACGGGAAAATTTATATCATATCTGTATCTATATATATATATATATATAGGGTTGGGTTCCGTGAGACCACCCTGTTTTCATGAGACCCGTTAGACCACTGTGAAGGCTTGGATACACATTGTTAAGGATGTTATTCAGTCAACTAAATCAGTTTTCAGTTTATTCGGTTCGCTTTAATCGGTTTTCAATTTTTCCCAAACTACCGGATAACCAAACCACATAAGGTTCGGTTAATCGGTTTCGGGTTATTCGATTCAGTAACCGGTTAAACAGAACAAGGGATCATACTTTTTCGTTGAACATTTGTCTTCAACAATTATTCCAAATGCAATGTTGCTTTCCATATATAATTGTATCACGCATTTATACGTGACAATCAAACTACAACAAACAAAAATAATTATCTAGCAAAAACATAATCTCCCAGGCCCTACTGTATATCAAGCAAAAACCATTATCATATAAAAACATGTAGGATCAAATAAAAAATAATGATCTTGCAATAAGATATAAAATAATAATAGCCTAATGTGTTATTCAAATTATTTGTATAAAAATAAAACAAATAAAATAATAGTATAACATCTTATTTGGTTTAACCGAATTAGTAAAAAAAGAACCGAAAACCGAACTGAATAAGATATCCTTATTTGGTTAACCGAACCAAATAGCATGAAATCGTTTAACACAAACCTCATTCAACTCGGGTGGTTTATTCGATTACGGTTTTTTTACACCTGGATACACCATGAAGATTTTTGTGTGCTTCCCATGAGGGTTTGATGCATTTTTCCTGTTCATTAGAAGGTTTGTTTTTTTTCATTGTTTTTATGTGAATGTTGGTTTTTTTTCAAGTGAAGGTTGTCATTTTACGGTTTGATGTTTTACTGTGAAGGTCAGATATGTTTTCCGGTGAAGGTTTGGTCTGTTTTGCAATGAATGTTTGGTTGGTTTGCTGTGAAGGTCAGGTCCGTTTGTTGTGAAGGTTTGACGAGATCTCAAAAAAGAAAACTCATCCAAGGTGTGGTCTCACGGGTCTCATGAAAATTGAGTGTCTCACATGATTCCAAGTCTATATCCACACACACAGAAAAAAAATATCTTGAAAATGCAATACCTGATTCTTGACCACTATTGGCTAGTTTTGGATGCTCCGACTTGATATGAAGACTGACACCAGCTGTTACGAACTTAATACAGAATAAAAGAAACTTCAAATTTCACAGAAGTTCAACCTATAAAAAACAAACTTAGAAAATATCATATATTAAAATTTTAAACCCACATGATCCAACCATCTTGACTCGATACTAATAAGATCCGCAATCTTCCATTCAAAAGGAAGAGAACCCATGCCCCATTCTTCCTCTGAGACATCAAGCTTAATGGAAATGGGAAAAAAAGTCAAATGTGCTTTCCTGTAACAGTTTCTTCCATATGTAACGTACTCTGGGTAAACAACGACATTGGGATCCTGTACATGACAACCAAGAAGAGGCCCAAAACGATTATTTCCATTTTAAGGAAGCATACAAAGACTATGCTAACGACACAGTCCAAACTTCTATACATGAATTTCCATGAAAGCTCATAAAGTTAAATTGTTCTATACTCATCATGCTCCAACATGAGAAAATTCAAGTTTTATGACCCCAAAAAAGTAGAGGGAAATGATAATCCATAGATGAACATAAGCTATGAAGTTGAACACGTGTGTTGTTTCATATGCCACTTACTAATATAGATTACTATAATTCAAGTTTTAAGTTTTGAGACTCCAAAAAAGTAGAGGGAAATGATGATCCATGAATGAACATAACCTACGAAGTTGAACAAGAAGTGTGTTGTTTCATATACCACTTAGTGATACAGATACGCAACTACAATTATGACATCTTAAGCATAGTTAAAGTTTAATTTTTTATTAACACAAACTTTAGATTTAGAGTTGTATCACCCATTAGGGTTATTTCCACAAACTCTTTAGCAATTTGTCCAAAACTGACATATGAGAAACTTCCAAACATCTCCCTAGAGAGATGTCATGACCAATAATTTTAGTTAAATGTCTAGTTTTGCCATTACTAGTGCAAAAACATATGGGAGATATATAGAAATTGACAAAACATGATAAAAGTAAGTGCAAATCAAACAAATTTAATTCCTCTCTAGTATCTTTCACAACACAAGGTTGTATTAGACGCTAAACCTAAACACTAACCACCATCATCATTGTCAGGATCTCAATTTTAAACTTCACCATGGTCACCAAACTCAAAAATAATCTACTCAAACTCAATTTCTCAAAACTCCAGAAAACCCACTATGAGAACACCAATGACTACTATAACTTGATGTCACATTATCAGTTAAATGTAGTGACATTGAACTTGCCACGACTGTCCTGCTTCATTCTGAAGCTTCAAGAGTATACCTCATATTTGCCAATTTATGCATTCATTGTCTTAATTCTAGTTCGGTGTTACAGATCATAATGCCAGAAGCTGTTGAGTTGTTTCAGGATCCCAGGCCTGGTTAGTTTTAGCAGCAATTCACGTTGTCTGTTGGCCAAGTCATATTGAATTGAAGAAATCATGAAAATATTCGAACGGGTCATATATTGAGCCTAAGAAGCCATAAAGAAATATATTGACTACACATCTTTTGAATTCAGAATTTAGTTCTCAGATTGAAAGTTCAACCACAATAGTGAGGTTACCAGGTCGCATGTAGTTTTCAAATTAGATGATGCAGTCCAAAGTATAAGATTCCTCTGGCTTCCCTCAAGCTAGGATGTATCCATTGACACGGGATCTCCATATCAGTTTGTACTGTGTTTGATTGATACTGGAATTGAGTAGCAAGTAGATGCAAAGGTTGTGGGCATTGCAAGGTGCACTTGGTGGTGTTCAGTAGTGAATGGTGAGTGGTACGGATCAGTAGCTAACATATGAGTTTAAGCGAAACGTAAATTTCAAGTTTCCCATTCGAAAATGGTGATTTTTCATAATTCCAGTGCCAAAATTAGACAAGAACTTCATGTAACATAATATTTAAGAAATTATTATACCAATGAATTTGTTACTTAACTTTTTTTTAAAGCATGAGAAGTTCAGGATAGTCCAACATCATGCTGGGTGTACGTGGAATATGCACACAAAATTTAAGGGAGTTAGTACTAATAACCCCACTATTCTTCTAAATAGGTTGAATATGTAAACCAAGAGTTTTTGTTATCCTTTTCTGACTGGAATGTAACCTCCCCTTCGTGGCAAAATATCATGGGTGTGACATCTAATATATCTTAGTTTCTTGGGATGTAATAAATTTCTTTTAAAAATAAAGTGTACAGCTCAACAATAATATATATATGATGCAATACACACACACACACACATAAAGGGATGTTATTCTACACCCTTTGCTATTCCTACACCCTATACAACCCTCATCTCAACCATTCAATTTTTAATCAATTAATTGTTTCCTAATATAAAGTATTAATCATAATTAATAAACTCTATTCATATTCCATAAATATTCAAATCATAATAAATGAACTCCAATCATTTCTATAAATATCTCAATTAATTGGGTTGCAAAGGTTGTACAAATGCACAAGGTTGTACAAATGCACAAGGTTGTAAAAGAAATATACCCCACACACATATGTGTATATATATATATATATATATATATATATCATTGCATCCTAATAGTTTAGTACTAGGTTGAAGAGCTAAATTGCTTGTATGAATAACAAACCTGAGGGTAGAACAATATGAGACGACACTTAACATCTCCCAAGATGCTCATGAAGTGAGTGATATACTATGCTGGGTAATACAGCAGTTTCTTTCTTTTGTTGCTTCTTATCATTTAGAAACATCAGAATTCATGTGATATCTATTTTTCAACTGATTTGCTTCTCATCATTCATACTTGCTACTTTGTTCTATTGTTCTACTACCTTTACCATACTTTGTTTTGGTACAACGCACACACATTATGTTTACAAATACTTTCTGCTCAATATCTTCTAAACTTTATCATGACTTCCCAAAACATCCTACCCTTGGACCCTACTTCCGAGTGAGATATATTGATATGTTTCATTTGGTTGGGTTTATAACATATTTGAGAACTGTAAGCACGAAGACTACGACAAAAGAATACAAATGACATCCTTGCCTTTTGCCTCTATGGCCATCCAACCCTCTCAAGGATTTACACCATTCACTCGGTCCCCTTAAGCTCTGTTTGGCAATTGCTGAATGGTTTGGTGCAGAATGATTAAGTGGTCAGAATGATTAAGAGGCTCTCATGATATAGTGCAAAATGAAATATAATTGTTTGGTAATTGCGTACAATGAAATTAGGGCTCTTAATGGTTAAGGGAGATCCAGGATACAAAAACATTCAGAGGGTTTTAGAACCATTAAGAGGCATATTTTTTTTTGACAAACAAGATTCACCTCTTAACGATTCAGAGGTTGCCTATTAAGAGGTAAACAAACAACAAGTGTATATTGAACTTAACACAACTTACCATATTGCCGGCAAATCAAACATTATAAAATCCAGTAAAATAAGCACAAAAACCATTTAGCAGCTCGTACTATTACTTCCTTTATCAATTTTAAATAGAATCAGCAATGCACTTACCATCTCAGGTGAAGTAATCTCTTGCTCAAGAATCTGTTTTCCTGATAAACCTGAAGAGATAACAATGATAGCACTTAAGAAATAATTGTTCTCCAGATAACATACATTACTATTAAAATAATTCTAGAAGTAAAGAACCTTCAGCATCTGCAAGATCATTAGAAGACATTGTTGATAAATTATCATTGTCCTCATCAGAGATTATAGAAACGGACTCATCCTGCAATTGAAACTAAATTGAATAGTTGTTACTTTGTTCCAAACCTATGCTAGAATTACTTGTGCAGTAAATGAAATTAATGAGTGAAATTCAAATGCTAAATACATCAGCCAAGTGAAGCCTTTGGGTACAGTCTGAAGGCTTTCTGTCAGTGGCAGTTTTAGGGGACCTAGGAGTGTTGAAGCTATCTCCATGATAGAAAGTGCAGATATCAGGACACATGGATCCAGAAAAAGCTTTTGAATTGTTGTTTGAAGAACTGGATTGTAAGGCTGCATCCGACCGAAAGATCCTTTCTTTCACCGCTTCATCAACTTCATGAACAATTACTGGTTCATTCCTTGATTTCTTTCCTTTAGGTTTCACTCCTCCTGCAACTATGAGGAAAAAGAAAGTAGGTAGTCGAAGTTATCACATTGAACTATACAAAAAAGCAGTTGACTGAAAAAGACATCGTCCGATGTAACACATATTTTGCATAATTTATGACCAATTTCAGGCTTGAACATTGATCTTCATGGATATGATTTCTACTTCTATTAAGATTGGGGACCTAAATAATTCAGGACCAAAGGTGCAATAGCCAATTTCCACCTCAACTTATGATTAACTTAGCTTTACTTTACCTAAATGGTATTCCTCTTCTATATTATGATCCATTTAATTTGTGATGCATAGGGAGGGTGTAGCAAAACCAAATATATATCAGAAGCAAGTCCGTAAATTTAATATTTGGTCATAGAATACCTATTATTGATGAATATATGAGTAACACAACTAAATCAAAAACTACTCAACATACAAAGATGGGAAGTGCAAAACATGTAAGAGAAGAAATGAGCATTGTCATGTTAGTGTCAGCAACTCAACATAAGCGCCCAGGTTTTCGAATGAGTTAATGACTATCTAAGACAGCCTGGGGGAGAATGAAAGCAAATGGCAGGCAGATAGAAGAATGCTGATCTTGTAACCGACAACATAATAGGCTGTCAGAATGGAATCAGTGTTGCACTTCAAAATGCAACTCCAGGCGAAACTTGGGATAACTAGAGCATGGTTGAGAACACTGGATAGTGTCGGATGATCTACAATATTCTGTTTCGAGTGAAACAATGAAGTCCTCTAGCCCCCACATCATAAGCTATGATTCCTCTTCAATGATCATTTCAAAAACACCATGTATGTAACAATTTAAACATATAGAAATAAATAAAAGTAAAAAATCAATATCTTATGCGTTCATATGTTGCCTGATTAATCAATGAAAACATAAATGACTTCAAAATCAACAAATACAACATATAATAGAAACTCCACTAACGAATAACCAATGAGCTTTAGAAGTTATCCTATTTCACATACCCGATTGATCATACTCAAAATTCAAGATATCTTGAAACACAAAACAAGAAAACTAGCTAAGTGTAACATTTAAATGCACAAGTGATGCCTTTTTGTAACAAGCAGCACTTTAATATAATATACGATGCACACATACTTGTCAAAATCATCTGAGCCATGATTTGGGTTGTACCATTCATTTTATTTGTAAATCCCATAGAGAATCAAAATCCTATTTGATTTATAACTGCCTTGGTAAATCATGCTTGCATTGGCAAACTGAATTGTATTAACTAATAGAAGATGACATCTCATTAACAAAAGTAGAAGTCAGCATTAGTGCCCATTTTGAAAAAAATGGATCCTCTTCACTTTTTTTAAAAGTTGGTGTCACCAGCATTTCAACTTCACCAAAACCAATTTGTTTGTGACCAACCAAACCATACAGATCATTAGAGCATGAAAGAAATAAGAAAGTGGATCAAATTTCAGATTTTGTTTTGACAAAATCAAGTTTACTGAAAAAGGTATAGTTTTGAATGACTTGGATTTGCTGAATTTCAAATGTTGAGATATTGACTAGCAGGGGGTGGCAATCTCTTCGTTCCTCCGTCGTAGTGTAAAAATTATAGGGTCGTGAAAGGTGCTACCATATCATTTTGTTTTGTGCAACTGTACATATTTTTTAGCTACAATGATGATACAAGTTTCCCTTGACAGAGTTGGTTTGCATGGCTTTTCTCCCACCCCAAACCCGGATTCGAATCCCGTTTGTGTCATTTTCCTTAGTTAGCTTTCAATTTCAGATTTATTATGCTTCTAAAAAAAATTGCAATAAAAGACTTGAACAGAAGACCTCACATATGAAAAACAAAAGCTTACCAATAGACCAATGATTATTTTGTGAAAAATATTCATATCTTTGTTTCTTATAGTCAAATGGTGCTACCACTTGAAAAAAATTCTAGGTCCTTCTCCGCTCACTACTTACTTTTCTAACAATGAATGTGAAAATGTGAAGCAGTTCCCCCATCATGCTTTTAAAATGAGCATATTCTTATACAGTATTTAATTATTCTGAATTTGTTTTAACTGAAAGGAAGTTCAATCATCACCATCATCACCTCAACATAAAATAGGAAGTAACCCTAGCCATGACTGCTGAGCATCACAAAAAGTACAAATTCAAAAAAGAAAACCCTCCCTGTTACTAAAGACACAAAATTGGATTTTCCTTTCAAAGCTCAAACCGGGTACCTTAGGCTTCCACAGTCTAAATTGATGACTCGTCACAAATACTATCCCTACATATCGTTCTTGTAGTGTTTGATATGAAATCAAATGTAAACCATCTCACCAGTAACACATTCGTATCAATTTTGAAATGGAAAATTAGTATACTCAACCTCGATCATCCAACTGTAAGTGATCAATATTCCCGTGATTCCTTGTACATCAATATGCATACGATAAACAAGTGTACGTGTGTGAACTGATACTACAGATTAAAAAAAAAACTAGGGTTTTGATAGTCTTCGAACACATACATGATTTCAAAAACTCATAAGTGTCGACGGGGGAATTACCACACCGAGATTTCTTCTTCCCCGATTTTGTAGATTTCCATCTTGATTTCTCCTCCGCAACTTCATCTGACTCGTCAAATAAAAATTCTGCAAATTTCTTGCCCAAATGCATCGTAGCAAAACCCTAGAACAAGGGTTTGATCACTGAAAGTCGAAAGTTGTGAAACTTCAAGAGCACGGAGAACACACGTAACGGCAACTTTGTACGGTCACACGGACCGGTAAAACCAAAGGGAAATTTGAGTTTCTACCCTCAATGTTTCTCTAAAAACAGTATGGTAAATTCCTATTTTGGTCCCTAAACTATGTGAGTTTTATTGAATCACGTCCCTAATCTTCATTTATACCACATTTGTCCCTCACGTTTGTATAATCGTTTGGTTTCGTCTCTCCAACTAACGGCTGTCATCTTTTTCCGTTAACTCATGTTAAATGAGAGGTATTTTGGTGATTTACCCATCCCTCAACCTTATCTCTTCCCCGACGTCCTACCCTTTTGCTGGCGACTCTACATGAACTTACAGCATGAGTTGTTGTATTTGTATTTTTAGAGAAAAGGGAGAAAATATAAAGGTGAAAATGAAGGAGTTGAGGAAAACAAAGTCAACACTTCCATCTCGTGGATTCACTTTTGATTTTCTTGGTAATTACAGGTGCTAAAGTGATATTAAGCAGCTTTTATTCGTTTGTGATGATTTGTTCAAGCAACAGAGAACCTAAGAGAAGTCTACATGTAGGATCGGAGTTCTGGTTTTCTTTTGTTAACGGGTTATTTCTATTCCTATTGCATGTATCAAACCTTTGTTATATCAAGGAGTGTTTGTGGTCTAAAAACATCAAACTGTATATTCTTGAGGAACAAGGGTCTTGACTAAACTCAAAAGATCTCTAACTAAGGATGAACTATTACCTTCAGAGTCAAAGGGTTCCTCAAAGTAGGGAAGAAAGACGAGATTTTAGGTGGAAGCCAGATGCGGGGGATACCTAAGACAAACTAGTGAAGTGCGGGGTAGGGGTGGGGTGTCGAGGAAGGCAAATAGGAGAAAGGTAGAGGGGTGTAGGGTTGGGTTTTCTTTCTTTTTCTTTTTACATTTTGTGATATATTTATAACAGAAGATTAAGAATATGGAGAAAATGACCAAAATATCCCTCATTTGACTAAAATTAACAGAAAAAAGTGTAACGGTCGTTAATGGGAGGTATGAAAATCAAGTGATTTTGCAAACGTTTGATACAAATACAGAATGTACTCGAGGAAAATACGAGGTAAGTTGCTAACTAGTGCACGTGCATGTCTTGATTTTGGATTCAATTCCTAAAACGCATTAAATACACTTTGGTCCATGACTTTTGATTTTCATAATAAGTTAGTCCCTCAAATTAACACTATTAGTTTGAACTCCGATAAGTCTCTCATGTCCATTTAACTCTTATTTAACTTTTTCGTTAGTTATTTATTATTTTCTTCTCTGTTTCCTTTTCTCTTCTTGTTATCCCTCCTCATATTCTGTTTATTTTTAACATTTTCTTTCCTCTCTCATCTCTTCTCTAAAAAAACAAGTGGATTTTTCATTTTCTTTAAATAAAATAATAATTTTAAATGTTCACATTTAAAATGTTATTTTTGAGTAGATATGTAATTGTCTTTGCATGTAGTACTGGATTTTTTTTTTACTAGTGTTTGGATTCCTCCATGTCTTCTTAGGTTAATAACGTTCATTTGAACAACAATAAAAAGTCATATTCATCTAGTTTAGTCTGTATCGTGTGGTAGCTGTCTTTTCTTAAGATATATGGGGTACATATAGATGGAGTCACAGTTCATTTTAGGTTTTTTATCCTCTAAATAGTTCTTGTTATTAAATTTTAAAAAAAAAATAGAAGGATGTTCTCCAATATTTTGAAACTAAAGGGACTAAGTTGAAAAATATAATAAAACTTATCTAAACAATGAGTTTATGTTCTTACTTTTGTACTTCAATCACCACTCATAAGGAATTATCCATCCTCTCGTTTCTTTCTTATTTTCCAACCATATTATCTGTTGCATATTGATTTGCCGTATTTACTTTAAATTCTAAGTTTTGCTCTAAAGAAACAAGATTAGAAATCTAGGGAAAAAAAGATGAAGGACAATCAAAATGATGAAACTCGGCAAAATTTTAAAAATCAGAAATTTTTATGAAATCAACTAAAACACCAAAAAAATTCTCTTGTAATGATGAAATTTGGCTACAAATACATCGAGCATAAGATATAATGTGTGTCTTGCTCAAAAGGTCAATGTCGATTTCATTTGAAAAAATGATTTTTGTTCCCAAAATCGGCACAATTAACTTTTTACCGGATCAAATTGCTCCGACTCCCCCTGCGTCCACTGTAATTTTACGACTCTTTAATCTACCTTAAATTTAAATATGCACCCATTTAGAAAAATTCCTAGGTGCGTCACTAGATCGTAGTGAGGCTCCTCTTGGTGTTTTTTTTTTTTTTTTTTGATTAATTTGGATATCCAACCCACTATACGAGTCGACTAATCCCAATACGACAACCTGCTTTGCAGATAGCCCAGAGTCACCACATTTGAACCTACGTGGCCACAAGGGGATTTTTATTCCTTCTTGGATTTGAACCTGAGACCTCCAAATACTTTTGACCTTTGAAACCAAGCTCAAACCAATCAGGCACCACCCTTGTGGTTAAAATCTGTCCATTTTCTAGCCAAATGATACAACAAATTAGCAAATACTTAAACACACACTTGTCTGAAGACTTGCTTATCAAATATTATTATCAACTTAAAATTCTATTACAAGTCTACAACTTGTATCAAAGCAAACCATTACAGAAATTACAAAACCTCCAATAAAAAATCCAAATTACAAAGGTGATCTGGAACAAAAAATATATAGAAATACAAAAAAAATCTGTAACAAAAGATTTATAGAAGCAATCAGACAACAAAAATATAGTCTAGCAGAATATAGAACCCCAAATCTAAAATCTAAGCAACTAAGAGGCTGTTTACCAAACGCTTACTCGGGTAAGTGCTTACCAAGTCGCATTACCTTACCGAATGAATATGACAAAGACCAAGAATCTTACCCAGTAAGAGCAAAGGCAAGGGCCGAGAGTCTTACCCGGTAAGTGAAGGTGACGACTCTTACCATGGTTAGCACTTACCGGGTAAATTGTTGCATAATCGTTTTGGTAGACTAAAATCTTAGCCGGTAAGTAAGTGATAGTGTTTGAATCTTGCCGGTAAGCACTTATTCAGGTAAGCGTTTGGTAAACAACCTCTAAATAATCTAAGTAACTAATCCCCTAAGCAAGAAAGAAACAGAATAAACACATTTGTGTCTGTATTATACATATCCCTGAATCATTACACCTCAAACTTTCATTACTGTTTTATTCTAGTAAATATATAATGACACCAAAGATATAAACCCCTGGTTTTCAAGGTATTATACAGAATAAATATGGTCTGAAGGGTAGCAAGTGAGGAATAATGATAAGGGAATTATTACTTCTTTTCCTACAAAAAGCATTTGGACAAAATGCCATTACAAAACATATATAACCATTATTTTCTTGTAATATTAGGAAGAATGGGACAATATCAAGATGTGTAATTCATCAAGTCCTATATATTTTGAAAGGATCAAAGAAGGAACAAGACTTTGACCTCAATGTAGCTCCAGAAGGAAGCTCTCCAAGAAATGGTGTTCACAAGCCAAGAGTGTGTGATGTAAAGAAGTCATTCTTCAGCACCACTGCTGGCACTAGCGGCGCTCAGGTCCACCGAGAGGTCAAGTTCCTAGAGGAGAAGAATGAGGCAAATCATGAATTATGATGTTTTATATTCAACATATGTATGTAGCTATGAAGTAAAAGGTTGTTATGTCGAAAAGCACATTGCAAAAGATTAGGACGGAAAATGGGTTAAACCATTTCAAGGATTGTTATCTTATGTATAAAAGAGTGTCCTGATAGATTCCTCAATTGGATTTTAAGTTTATAGGACCAACACCTATGCATCCTATAAGATGACGTTGCAATGAGTTGTTAGAACAAAGTTAGATGTCCTCACAAGTTCTATCGACAAGATTGGGCAACATAACATGACACAAAAATATATTGTCATAAACCAAAGCAAAACCAACCCAGTAAGTCCCACCTGGAGGTGGGGTCTTGGGGGTGGGATGTACAGAGACTTGGCCTCTACATTGAGAGTAGGGCAGTTGCTTATGTGAAGTCTCTGATGTAAATCGTCATTGTAGGCTAATATTGTAGCACAAGAAGTATATCGTCATATTATCCTTTATATAGGACACTTTTGGAAAGTGTTATATAAAAAGACTAACAGGACTATTTACCTTTCAAGTACTATTAAGTTGTCCAACTTCGTTGGTAACCAATGTTAGGTCGCCTAACTTTGTCCTAACTCATAGGACACACAGTTGTTGGTCCTATAATGAAGTCTAATTAAGTAATCTATTAGGAAGCCCGGTGACGGTAAGGTGGCCTAATAAGCCCATTTTGTCGTAGAGGTCAGTTGGTTTTCACCACAATAGTAGCAAACATGTTCAATAATATGCTGAAAGGATCATTTCTTTAGCAAGTGTCCCATTTGTGATATGCAAACGATATATTTGATTCCATATAAGTTCAAAGTAAGTCCCAGGAATGAGAACGGCCTACAACAAAAAAGTATTGGTTTAAATGCGAACATGTAAAAGCTAACCTTCCCAGTTATTTTGGTGTACATGGCAAGAACATCTTTCATTGTTGTCTCAAAGTGTGTCGTTGCATCATAGCTCTGCAAGGCGTATTATCATTAGTATATGGTAAGATGTCGCAATTGTATTTTTTGAAAAAAACTTTGAGAACCGAAGTGAAAGGCTGTGTGCTAAACCAACCAAGAGTTAAGTGCTACAATATCCTGTTCCGAGTATTTCCAAACCATGGGCAAAGTAATCCTTTTGGCATTTTTAAAACAATAGGAATTAGTATAAGCTTGAAGTCATCTACTCCTTCCATCCTATAAAAATTGCCATACTTCTATTTCCAGAATGGCCCATAAAAATTGGAATATCTCTTTTTCTTCAGGGGATCTTCATAGATTTTTAATCTAAAATCTGCTCACTATCATCTTACAATGGATTGAAGATATTGATTTGGGTGCATAAGATTCTCCTACTTTGTTATAATTAATGACGGTTAATAGTCTGACCTCTCGCTTAAACTATGTGCCTTCTTACACCATGGGAATTTAATGGAGCTATTTAGTTAAACGACCTTCTAAGGAGGTCATTTTTACAAACTAACCTTCTAGTGTTCTTTCAAAATTTTACATGGGAATCGTGTTTTGAACCAGAGGCAGATCATTTGAGTTTATAAAAAAAAAATTAAAGGTCACACTCCTAACTGAAAACTCATTTAATGTCCGTTAACTTAATGATGTCCATGCAATATCAACTACACAAATGTACATGCATATATACTTACTGTTGATACGAAGCAGTTGTCACCAGCGCCATCATTTGTTGGCACCAATCTATCATAAGTTTCATAAAAGATCTCATCAACAGGTCCCAGAAGGCTTACGCCAGGCTTTAATTCACTCTCAGGGTCGTCAGTCTCTGCTTCTGTTGTGACAAATGAAATAAACTTTCCTTGCGGAGCCACGTTGTGTGAATAAGAACAACAAAATAGATACCTGAAGTAATAAAAGGTCAGGGAACTCTGTTAGAACTTCACAGGACCATAAAGTGTTTTATGCTCTATGCACAAGTGCTACTTGTGGCTTTACCATAGCTTTTTTAGATTTCATTGATGAATGAATTAATGATCTTATGTTAAAAGTGCACAACCACCTTATTTATTAGAGAACTTGACTTTCACAAGTCTAGAAACGATTAAAGATTTCAAAATTTAGAATAATGACTATAAACTCATGAATTTCAGTGGTTGTAAAAGGTTAATGAGCATACAAACTCCATTGCAGATGGTCCTTAAGTGGGTTATACTACTATTAAAAAAGTTAAATGAAAGTCAGTCAAACATACATGTCTGATTTACGATTAAGTTGTTTCTGTGGTAGAATGACTTGGGCCGAGTGAGAATCATTGGTGTCTGGGATGGGATGACTCATTATACATATGGCTCGAGCAACTTTTCCAACCTTTTTGACCTGTTTCACATATCAGTTTCAAACTCACAGTTAAAGCCAGAAAAGATTGTGCTTACGGTTTATCTACAATAAATGAAAGAAGTTGGAATTATACAACTTCTATATACTTGATTACCTTATCAGGTATATACGATGGATCACATACAACTTTTTTGCATTTAGCAGTTTCTCCATCAGAGGTTACACCAACAGCCTTCCCACTATCATCAAATTCTACCTGTAATTCCAGGTATTAAAAGATTTAGTTATTAACCAAACAAATAAGCCAAAAACCTAAGTCACCAACACAATATATGATCATGCCCTCAAGTTAAGAAACATAATCATAATTATTGATACGGGCCTTTTCCACATAAAAGGGGAATATTGAAAAAGAAAACGTTAAAAGACGTGTTATATGACGAATACAATTTCATCCTCAGTATTATTAATATGAAAGGAGCCTTTACACCAAAAGTTCAGCAGGCAGTTCATAACAGGGGTCCAAGAGCCTATCCCAGAATAGGTACCGACATTCAGAGATTGTGAACAGAAGCTGCATTCAGCCATATAGTACAGAGAAATACACAAGAATGCAGTTCAAAATACAACTAATTGATAAGTATAAGAAGAAGATTGGGAAACAATAGAAAGTTGAACGTCCAAGAGAAGAGAAACAGCCATATTGAACTTTTCATAAACTCCACTTCCAACAATGAGGATATTTTGGGAAAGATATATTAAATGAAGATTTAAAATTCTACTTCATGACAGCAACATATTGTTATTGCATCTATACGTATCGTAAGAGTAGGAATGAGAAATAAGGCTCTCTTCTATTAAGGCTCTCTTTCACAAAATAAAATAACTACAAGAAATTATGGGAATGAGAAACTATACAGGCTTCAAAGCAATGAGGCTAACATGTTTCACATGTATATATCTGAATCCTTCTGGGTGCAACAGACTGATGAGATACCTTACATTGGGGCTTGTTAAGCATGTAAGTCCCCCCATAAACTGCACTTAGTCGAGCAAATGCCTGCACAATTAACATTCTTCATGAATATACCTTAGCAAACTTTAGGAAACTCGGATATTACTGAAATATGTGGACTAACCTGTGGCAACTCTCCAAGCCCATACATTGGATAAATATAAGGGGATCCTGACTCAAAGCGTGCTAAAGACTCTGCATAGAGCTTTAAGAAACCAAACACCAGAGACATTACCAAAGAGAAATCAATCAACAACTATCAAAGAGGGCAATAATGATACTTAATATTGTCAGGAAACAAAACAAGCCACTACGCATAAATCCCAGTGACCAAAGAAACATTTCTCTGAAGTCAAAGGCAGATTCTCAAAGATTAGGGAATAAAAGATATTAAATCACCATGTAACAGTTTCTTCAATACTTAACCTTGGTTAGTTTTTTCTTGTGCATGCTTATAATTGTATGTTAGTGCTTATCCTTAACCAGTTTTCAATTTTTATCTTATATGCCTTCCTCTCTTTCCCACACTTTTCACAAGCCGGGGTCTTCATGGAAATAGCCGCTCTACTATATGGGGTAAGGTTAGGTATGCGTACATCTTACCCTCAGACCCCACCTCCGGGTGAGATATACATGGCTCATTTGGTCTGGTTTAAATCAAAAGTGAAATAGTGTATTTTATTTGATATAATATAGTGGTCAAAAGTTCATACTATTTGGTAAAAGAAACCTTTATTTTATTCCAAAAACTAGAATGGGTAAAGGTTTTTCAGAGGCCAGTGGATATAGTTTATATTTACAAAAAATGCTACTTCCAATATTTTCATTGTTAAATGATAAGCAATCTATAAATTATTGGATTACACATATAGGAGTTAATGATCTTAGAGATTTTCCTAGGTCGTATGGTGGTGAACTTTTGTTGATCAATTTGTTGCATATGTACAAGTGCACATCATCATGACCCGAGTCTAATAAACTTTGAATTTGCATGATTACTTCCACTAATATTCTAGAGAGAGTTTTTCTCCAATGGCATGGTAATGTATCCTGCCAGACTAAGAAAACAAATACCATTCGTGACTTTCTTTAGGGTGGATACAGTCATACAATATTTTCAACAATTTCAATGTTCAAGCAAAACAGATTAAGACTATAATTTGCACCTTGATTCTCTTCACAAAATCCATTGCCGGCTGATCCAAATAATTATCATCAGTATAGAGTGCTAATGCATGACTAATAAAATCAATTGTATCATCTTCAAGACCATATTTCCTGCACCAAAAGAAAATGTGGTATCTATATTAACAGTTGTTGACCAAAGGTAGACAACTGACTTCGTATTAACCTTTCTATGAGTTAAAACTTATCATATGGTATGCAGTTGTGATGATCACTAGAAAGTCCAAAAAGCATTGTTATCATATGGAACATAGTTTCAAATAATAGAAAACTTACTTCATAAAGATAAAATGCAAGAAAGATAAGAATAAAGCTTGTTTTGGAAGTTCATCATCTTAGTTCAGCTAAACAGGAAGATTGTTTCCAGAACAAACATAATACAAATTTGGTAGAAGAAGTTGATGGAGAGGAAGCTACAAGGTAGTATGTATCCGAGTCTTTGAAGAATCTTTTAATGTGTGCACAGATGATCCAAAATAGCATTTGGAGTCTAAACCCTCTTGAATACGAATTAAGTAATAAGACCAAACCAAACAAGTCGTTGCAGAAAAGTTCTCTAATGCCCCAATTTCATTTTCCTTTAGCTAATAGTTTGTGCAATATGCATATATGAAAGCTCTCTTTAGATAAGTAGGGAAAATAAAAAGTGAGAGATTTAACTTACAACTATAACCTTGTGACATGCTTCTATAGAACAAAGAGGAAAATATGTGTACCCGATGAGCTCTTTTGAAGGAATTTGGTTCAAATCTAGGCCTTCATGAGATTTAGGATCATTTTCGTCATAGTCTTGTACATATATGAAGAATTTTCTTGCTCGCCTCTTTTCAAACAGACCCATAAGTGTAGATTTCAGCGCTTCAACGTCCGTTGCAGGAACTTTGTAGATCTGCATGCCAATTTATATGTTTATCATAAAAAACTGGAGAAATATTTCCCAAGGTGATTTTACAGTAAGGTTAGAATGCTAACAAATTCAAAGAGAAACCTCATAGGCACCTTACCTTCCCTTTGTTGTATACGAAGCTACCATCTACAGCCTTGAAATTTAGATATTTTGTAACGTTGGTGTGAATCAAAGCACGAACTAAAATACCATTTGCCATCATGAACTACCAAAACACATAGAAGCTCAGTATAATCACTAATGAAACTTTCAATCAGCGAATGAGGAAAAAAGGCAGTGGGATAGTATTGCATTTAAGGATGCACCTTTGGTATCATATCAACATTATACTCCTTGCTACTGCCCAAACTTTCTGGAGGGTTTTCATCTCCTCTAAAACGCTTCCAAAGCTATAAAGAACAGAAAAAGATACTGCTCATATATTGGTGCTCATGGAAAATGGTAAATGTCATTCTTGAGCAAGTAAATATCTCAATATTCACTTTATACCTCATTAGCTCCTAGTGCTTGTCTTCACCACTCAAAAACATATTGAATCCGCTTTCACCACTCAAAACTTATCGAATTATGATGAAATATCATGGGGAAATTAATGTAAAACGTGTTTAGCATTCTAAAAACAGGTATGGAAGACATTAACAACATTACACAGACATTACCTGATTCAAAGTGAGGGAGCTTGATTCTCCTCCATAATAATCATTTCTGTCCATATGCAGTACCTGTTGTTGGTCACCCAATATGGAGGGTTAGAACTTGGAAATCAAATGTGCACTTGAAGAGTATAAATATATTTTATTTGGCACCTATATACAAAATGAATTATATACTATGTAGTAAAACAGGAACCTTCCTTCTTTGTCTGACTTAACTTACATGATTGGTTAGATTTAAAATGTAATTTCTGGAATTTTGCATCTTTTAACAAGGACTCCAATCATAAAAGTAGGAAGCATATTGATCTCACTACATGAAAGGAAATGAGGGCATCTCCAGTCATGAACTTGGTTAGAAGTTCATGACTTTGCCATGTCTGGTATCTCTTTCCGATGTACTTTATAAACCTAAATTATTCTATTATTTAATTAAATTGGTCCCACCATTTTGATGAAGAAATGGTTCATGTTATGAGCCTTTTCCTTCAAGGTCGGTTTGTACTGCTTCCTCCCAATGGTGTAAACATTTATGAGAAGGTCCACCGGTTTCAAGAACCTCCCATTGGAAATGCTTTGATATGTATATCATCTGAGAAGTCCTGACATTTTTTTACAATCAGAAATGTGATCATAAACGAAGATAATTTTCGCAACTTCCGACATTTAGGTATCCAACGAATCTCGATCCATTGCCTAATGCAATGAAATCCTATTCAACTACAAACGTTAGATTCGTATGTTTTACACACAGAGATCATCTATTGCCTTTAAAAAGATAGAGATGGAGGGAATTACTTTGAGGCCATCGACTGATAGGAGGCCGCTGAGGATGCATTCTTTGAGGCCCGTGCCAAGAACTACGACATCATACTCTTCATCCATCGTCAATTCCTACACAATTATCTCACAGATTCAACAAAGATGAAGAAAAACGAGAAGCTACACACACAATAACACGTTGATATTGTGTGTTCCTCAAATTAAAGATGAAGAGAGGGGATGGAGATTGAAACATTGAATCGGACGACTGTTGTTTTTGGAGTGAGCAGGGAACGGGTCTTTCGCGGGAGATGCAACGCTTTTTCTATTTTGCCTTTTTTTTTTTTTTTTTTTTATGTTTTAGGACATATTTATACTCATTTGTCATTTATAGCCCTTAAACTTTAATTTACTACATAAAAACCCCTAAACACAGAGAAAAAAAAATCCCAATTTGACATTGAACTTATTGTTGTAATATGAATATATTATATTTGTGTTCGTGGATGTTGCACTCGAGCACAAATCAGGAAATAGTCCAGTGTCTGTTCCGTACTCCACAATTTTTGGTCCCTACCCCTCTTCGAAAACTTGTTCACTGCTCCTCCAATACTTGTTCCCTACTCCTTCTATTGTTATATTATGAGTACCCCTTTGACTCCAACCTTGAAATACATCCAATTTTTCTTCCTCTAGATATAACACCACAAATACGCTCTCTAAGAACTTTTCACTCGTATATAGTATATGTGAGCTTAAGAGAGTGTTCTTGATATTCCTTGAGGCCGCATTTGGTACATGAGACAAGACATGATGAGACAGAATTCATTGTCCGACGTTTGGTGTGACATAGGACATGACAAGAACTCACTATCCCATGTTTGATAAAACATGGACAGGGACAAGAACAGGGACAAGGTGGGACAACGTGGCACAAAAAAGGCTTATTCTTGATGGGACAATAATGAGACATAAGCTAAAATATTAGTAATTAATTATTGTTTGGTATATAACTTTAATATGGTATTTGCTTTAGTGGTCACCACTGCTAGTCACAGCCGTTGCCACCACCTGTAGCCACCGCAGGACACCTTCACCTCCACAATCACTATCGACCACCGACCACCACCATCTATTACCACATTTACAACCATTGCCAGCCACCTGCCACCACTACCACTATTGACCACCTCCACCTTCTCCTCTACAATAATAACCTCCTCCACCATCTTCACAATCGTCGGCCACCGACCACCACCACTCATCACCACTATTATTACCACCTCGGCAACCGACCACCACCAATACAACCATGGGCCACCTCACCTCCACCATCGGCTACCACTAAAAATGCCTACCATCACTATCGGCTACCACTACCAATGCCTACCACCACCATCGGCTACCACTACCAGAACCACTACATCGGCCAGAACTACCTCATCTACCATTGTCGACTACCACTACCACGACTATCCACCACCTTCACATCCTCCATAATCACCATTATCCACCAACCACCACTGCCCATACCTCTACAACCACCGTTGTCCATCGACTACCACCGCCTATCGCCGCCACCACTAGTACTGTCGGCCCATCACCACCTCCACCCCCATCATAGCCACCACCATCACATTGGTCACAACTACCTCCTCCACCATCGTCGACCGCCACCACCACTACTATCTACCATCTTCAAGTCCTCCACAACTATCGTCTGCCATAGACCATCATCATCCATATCCACCACCACTAGTACCGTCGACCACCATCATCTCCACCTCCACCTCCATAATAATCAACACCACCTCCACTTCAACCATAACCACCACCACCACTTCCCCACCAATACCTTTACTTCCACATCGACCACAACTACCTCCTCCACCACTGTTGACCACCACCACTACACTATTCACCATCTTCACGTCCTCCATAGCCACCATCGACCACCAATCACCAATGTCTCTCTACCTCTACAACTATTGTTGCAACAATCTTCACCTTGCCTTCGTCAATTGTAAGGATCTTCAAACCGAATAATACAAATAGGGTTTTTTCAAACTACCATCACTTATATTAAATTTTTCATCCAAATTCGGTACCATATGTATGTATTTATGTATATGAAAATTGTGTAAATTTTTTATAAATTAAATTATTTACTTTATTTGAATTAATTATAACTATTATATAATATATAAAATCATTAAATAACTTTTGGGGGCAACTTGTTTAGTTATATCATGTCTAGTCCTAGTCGTACTAAACACCAGACATACACTTGTTCTATCCAGTCTTGTCTCGTTCTGTCCCGTCCCGTCCTGCCCTCTTGTCTTGTCTAGTCCTGTCCAGTTTTGTCATGTCCAATCATGTCTACATACCAAATGCTACCTAAAGATTTGCTAATTGATCTTAGATCTAAGATCTTTGTACAAGCACTTTGTAATCTCCTTGGTAGTAATAAAATTATTGTTCTCTCTCTCTTTGGTGGACTCACACTATCCCACAGATAGTGGAACCATGTTAAATTCTTGTGTTATTTGTTTGTGAACTTGTTATATACATAGATTCTAACATATCTTGTTATTATCTACATTGTGGGTTGTTAATATTTGATAGAGTCACTGTGCAATATCTAGATCATTGTTATCTGCATGTGTTATGCTCTTGGATTTATAACACTTAAAGGGACCTTAGAAATCACTTGCTAGAATTGCAATTGTGGCATAACCTACCCTAACACTTATATAGTTTCTCCTTCGTTTGAAATTTTAACCTAGGTTGAATTTTATTCATCTACACTTGTTAATTTATAAATTTTTTGTTGAAATTACTAAAATGTCCATGGTTATGAATGACAGATTACGAATGTACCCTCGATGTTGATGAATCAACACACTATTATTTGTTTACATATTTCATACATTCATCGTGTGTTTAATGGTGGTGGTGGTGGCGGTTGTGACGACGTTGATGAGTGGTTAGGGTCGTGGAATGATAATATTAATTGACATTGGTGGTGTCGATGACAGCGATGGAGGTGGCAAGGCCAGGACGATGGGCGTGACTACTCCATATTCTCTAAGGGTCCGTTTATCAAACACTTACCCGGTAAGTGCTTACCGGTAAAATTTAACACTATTATTTACTCATCGGGTAAGATTTTAATCCACCAAAACGACATCATATGCAACAATTTACCCGGTAAGCGCTTACCGTGGTAAGAGTCGTCGCCCTCATTTACCGGGTAAGACTCTTGGTCCTTGTCTCGCTCTTACATGGTGAGATTCTTGATCTTTATCATATTCATGCAGTGAGGTAATGTTACTTGGTAAACGCTTACCCAGGTAAGCGTTTGGTAAACGACCCCTTAATCTTTTCAATAAATTAATCTGTTAATACAAAGTGATTTTTAGCACAACTGAGACGTAGTAAAAGTAATCACACAAATATCTGTTCGAATGTGGCATCTTTTACACGGTCTTGTGAAATTTCCCAATAATTAAGCATTAAAAAAGTTAAAAAAATCCCAATAAATTATTTTTGTTGTAGTGTGCAATAAAAAAAATAGAATTTTATGTGGATTTATTTACATTTTTACGTATTTTATACTAAAACAAATAATATAAAATTTAATAATAAAACTTTTTAAATACAACTTTTATAAAAACAACACTTCTTAGCCATAATGTTGCAGTTCATCCAATATAAAAAGTCGAAAGTAATTAAAGATATTACATTTTTAAAGGAAAAATTAAATCTGTATTATATTTGATGAGTTTTATTAGCGAGGTTACAAACAGACAAAAGTCATCACCTTTACTTACCTCGGATAACATTCTCGATCATCAAAATGAATTGTTGGTAAACATCTTTTATCCGGTAAGCAGGGAAGACTCTTGGTCATTGCTATGTCTCTTACTGGGTAAGACTCCTAATCATTGCCAAGCTCACTCGATAAGGTAACAGACACCTGGTAAATTACCCAGTAAAAGTTTGGTAAACGACACTACAACAAAATCGGGTTTATGGGACGCTCTCAAATTCTAAGTGTCCTAATAGACCTAGTTTATAGGACCTAGTTTATAGGACCAAAAAATGAAGTGTTATATCTAAAGATGTTGTAATAAGTTTATATGACGTTTTTTGACGTCGTAATAAGTTTTTTAGGACACTTTTAATATAAAATGTCCTATTATCAACTTTATAGGATACTATTTGAAAAATTGTTTTATAAAAAACAAATGTCCTATTAAAAAACGAGTTTATAGGACACTTTCTAAAAATGTCATATAAAGTTGCTAATGTGACACTTTGTATTAAAAATGTCCTAAAAACTTGTTAGGACACCCAAAAACGTCATATAAACTTATTACAACACCTTTAGATAGGACGCTTTATATTTTAGTCATATAAATTAAGTCATATAAAATGGTCTATTGGGACGCTTAGAAATTGGGGACGTCCTATAAACCCAATTTTATTGTAGTGCGACCCCAAAATCTTGTTTATTATTCTAACATGTTAGTATGTTTCTTTACTGATATATGATCTATACTCCAAACACTTTAATTTATAAAACTACATGGTAATCTATACTATATTATAAAGCATCTGACAAAAACTCTTAAAAACTATTTTTTATGCACGAAGTATTGTTTATTGATGCTTATTACTTAAAATTTAAAATTACGAGTAAATTGTGCATAAGTATAACTTATTAAAGCTCCATATTTGAATTTGTGTAACTAACTGCAGATAAACATAATCAAATATTGGATAAATATCTCATTTTAAATATAAAAAATCTAAAATATAATTAGGATAATCATAGAGTTCTAACAAAATATTTAGTTATTATCTTTTTAAAGAATTATATTATTAAACCTAAATTAAATTTCTTTATTACTAAACCTAAATTAAATTATAATTAAATAAATTTAAATAAGGAAATTACACCAAAACAMAAGAACTTTTAAAAAGATTAACTTGATACAAATATCGATATTTTTTTTTAAATTTTTTAAGATTTATATCTTTTGTTCAAAAATAAAAACATTATCGTTTTCTCAAAATCACATAAAACCGTATTATATCGACATAAAAAAGGAATAAAA